ACATTAGAACTCAAATATGTATTTTTACAGAAACATAAAAACAGTCTCCAACTAGATTTAACCATATTTAAATCTTACTTTCTTTACACAAACAAGGCTGGAAAACTGTTGACAAAACCTCCAGTAAGAAACAGATGAAAAGCAAAAAATAATCTGTCCTGTGAAATTATATAAACTCAAGATAGGACTAGAATCTGTGTTTCATTGTTCCTAGTCCAGAAACTTAATCACTGTATTACACAGGCTCTCACTTTACACACCCATACGTACACCCACATAAAATAAGCACAGAGTTAATTGGCGTGATTTATTAATATCAAAGTTTAATTTGACATGAATAGTTCTAGTTTTAGTAGTTAGTATTTAAAATACTTGATACCCTGAATCAATCAATCATGTTAAAAGTTAACCTTCCAAATGTTATCCTTCTAATCTGAATCTTCAGCATAATTCCCCCCGTCATACATTCTCATACTACCGATTAATATTTCATGATCTCCATGCTACATATATTGTAGCAACATCTTAAATACTCCTTACACACTCAGAACAAACTTGTGCTAGTGGGCTTTAGGATTATTTTCATTGCGGAACATCAAGAAAGAAAACTTTCTGAAAAATAATTTTGCTTAATATTACTAGGCTTTGCACTGGTGTTGCACATGTATATGTAAATTTATAGAACTATTCATGTTTGCTCTTGTTCACAGTATTCTCCTTTTTATTGGTTCAGACACCATTTACTTTATTCCATAAATAGTGCATTGGAATCTCTGGATTTCTCTAGAGTTTATAAGAAATAAAACAAGAGGAATATTGCCTAATAAACTATCAATCCATTGTCACATTAAATCTACTTGTGTATATATTCATATGTACTTTTGTTGTCAACAATGACTTTTTATGTTATGAGTCTTATCTCTGTAAAACTGGTGATTTTTTGGCAGAAAACCTTGCATTGCAGAAGGATGCCCAATTGCTGCAATTGCCAATCATAGGAACACCCAGCTTTCTGTGGGTTTTTATTTTAGAATTTCTTTGGTTTTTAAATTATCCTTTGCTGGTGATTTCAGCTTGCAATGATTAACTAGTAATTTGGGACCACAAGTAATGATTACCTCCTGATAACTAGGCCTGACTATACCAGTGATGATGAACCTATGGCATGCATGCCACAGGTGGTACGTGGAGCCCTCTCTGTGGGCATGCAATCCGTTGCCCAGCTCAGCTCCACCGCGCATGCCAGCCAGGTGATTTTGGGTTCTCTACCACGCATGTGTAGTGTGTGTGTGCACCATTTCCCCTCTCTGCAGCACGTTTTTGATCCCAGAAGGCTTTAGGGAGGCCTGCTCGGCCCAAAAAGGGGTGTGGGTGTGTGTGAGATCATGTACGTATATGCAGAGGAGCGCATTGCATTATGGGTATGAGCATGTGTGCATGTGATTTCGGCATGTGAGGACAAAAAGATTAGCCATCATTGAACTATACTATAAAAATAAGCGTTACTAAATAGGCAACTTTGTATTGCTAGCATTTTATTGCAACAATAAGGAGCTTATTAAATTTTGTGCTGTATTTTTAATATATCACCAGTAGAGACTGATTTAATTCAACTAGGAATCTCCAATCAAATTTAAGCTATATTTGGGAACTGGTCTTGGAAGTCAAATAAAAATTACACAACAGATTTCTTTAATTCAGAGTCAATGAAGGCTCTGGATTCATGATGAAGTAAATAGCTAATTCTTTTAGCTTGATTGGAAACACTTTAAAGAAACACATACAAGTTCCTATATTCATAGTCTGCATTAATAAATGTAGAGAGCAATAATTATAATCTATTTCACATTGAACCTAGTTAGACTGTAGAATTTGCTTTCAGTTAGTGATATGTGTACTTGTATGACTTTAATAACGGGGACCAGGCAGATTAATGGCTTCTATAATTGAGGAGAGTTGGGTATTAGATCCTGGCTCTGAATTCTTTTCTGGAGAATGAGAGGATTTTTAAAAATTTATTTGCCAAATTTAGGCACCATCCATCTCACTCTCAGAAATAGCATAATGTTCCGGTCCTTTTTGTGCGTGTCCCTGAAGCATATCTGCTTAAGAGAATAATGTCACACTAAATAGCTTTCGGTTTGATCAAATCAGATTCTGATGTTTTTAATGTTCCAGTTTGGCACCTGAATTCTTTAATGGAAACCAGGCTTTATCTTTCATTAATACGTGTGTA